GAGGGACTTTTGGTGGCAAAGGTCAGGGGTTAGGGGTGGAACTTCTAGTCCCAAGATGGGAATGGGGGAGGGGAGGCAACTGTCAAGGGGTGAGGCTACCCATGTGGCCCTTGACAGCTCACCAAAACTCATTAAGCAGCTCTCCACCCAAAAAAATTGCCTGCCCTTGGTCCATAAGATACATTAGATGACTTACGTTCCTTCATCTCTTATCATGGAGTTGTAGATTGTGGAAAATCACTACTTAAACATACACAGTAGGGCTTGCTTAACAGCACTTCTGAATGATGCAAGTGCAGTGCACATGTACCTGGACTCGTCTGAGTGTCTTCCATTGCATACAGCATCTACATTCATCTAGAGCTCCAGTTATAAAAAAAAAAATATGGCAAACCAAATAATCCTTTTTGCTGCTTTTCCCATCTGTCAAAATATCATTAGATGTCATAAACTTTTGCTGTATCATAATATCTTGTTGCCCTATTATCACTTGTTATATCTGGCATAGGCTATGAAATGCTGTTACATTGTACTGAGAAATATGCCCTTTCAGCACCACAAAAAGCAAGTGTGCAGCCATTCAGGTGGTTTGTCAGTTCCATGACAAAATGTTAATTCTTTGCAATAGCAGCTTCATAACTGGTGACAATTTCTAGCACCACGTGCAACTCCTGTACCTTAGTGGCACAGAGCACACCGACTCACACAGGAGTTGACTGAGCTTTCAAAGGAAGTGGTGACAGGCCTTGACTCAGTGCTGGCAGGATTATGGTACTGGACCTGCCAGCACTACTGGATTGGGAGCTGCATGGCACACAGGCAGTAGGGATCCTTGACAGTCTGGAAATGAAATGGACACGGTTTTGGCAGTGAAAACTGACCAGGTGTACTGTGACTGCACTCCTAACAAATGTATGGGTTTTTTGTGCCAACAACACAAGATCTGATCAAAAGCTTTGTTTTTACAGGACTGTTTCAAGTGAAAACCCAAATCTTAGAACTGAAGTTTGTGATTGCTACTGACCAGTTCAGGCAACTCATCTTAGATTCTGACACTTCACTGGAATGCATTTTGGCTTCCCTTCCTCTTTTAACGTATTCAGGTTGTGCTAAATGTGGGTTGGAACTACAGACCGATAAAAACAAGATCTACAAGCAGTGCTTGCGGTGCTTACCATTAAACGAAGTGAAAACGTTCTACAGGTAAAACGAACAAAACTGAAATAGTGTATAGTTTTAGTGATGTATTAAAATAGAATAGCTATAATGAATCTAAAAATGCAGCAACACAAATTCACATTGCAGGTGAGAATACATTCTATTCTTTACTGTATATATGCTGTTCAAAAATAGAATTTTCTCATAGTCAGAGCACATTTTTGGTCATAAGGAGGTGGGATTTCTGTGCTGAGCTCTGCCACTAATTTTTCATGAGATTTTTGGCTGAGCCATATCAGCTCTCTGTGCCTGAGTCCCCTCCCTGCTCTCTCCTCTGAGATGAAAATACTTCTGTGCCTTAGAGAAAATGCAAGTAACTTGGTTTTGAAAAGAGTATTGCAAGAAAAACTTCGCAGAAACCTAAGTATCTTTAATTATGTATCATTATTACTATTGGTTTTATTCTGTATTTAAATAACCTGTTATTTATTTAGTCCCACTAAATAGAGGAAATAATAAAGTTTAGTGGTACTACAGCAGTGGGCTATGGTCAATAAAGATTTTGATTTTAGGTATCATGTCAGGACCAAAGGAAACCATTTTACTACGTCAGTCTAGCTTTTAAAATGGGTTAAAGGTGACAACATCTCAACATTAGATAATCCATCTGATTTTTACTAAGGGAAATAAATTTGGGAAAAAACGTGCTCTTTTCCAATAAACATACTAGGAAAGAGCAAATATTTTAAGATGATACAGCAGAAACAGCAGATGGCATCATAGGACAAAGTATGCACACATTTTTATATGCAAAGATGAAGCAAGCTACAATTCTGTATTTGATTTAGCATCATTATTAACTGTTTCATTGTTTCAAGTAAGCTATTAGTTCAAGCTAGTACTGCATTTATTTGAATATAAAATGACCCCCAATAATTAGATTCTATCTATGGTAAATTTATAATTTTGTTATAACTAGTTATATTATAGTTATATTAGTTATATTTATAAGCTGGAATATAATTTTGTTAGCTAAGTTTCTAATGATTGGACGTTTGCCTTTAATTTGCCCCCTTCCCACTGCTAGAGCAGGGAAAATACATCTTCGGGGGCAGTCAATGGCCTTGCTCTCTGCTGCCCCCCCACCAGCTTTCCCCCTTCCCCTGTACCTACTCCCCCCACACCCTGCAATCTGTCAGACTGATCTCCTGAGCTTATGGAAGTAAGGAGAAAAATTTGCATATAGGAAAATTACTACATGTATCCATAGACTTACTTCAGGCAGAATTGAAGCAGTTTACCTTTTTTTAAACTGCTGAAGGTTTTAGCACAGGTACTCACTCTATAAACCAGGGGCAAGCAATTATTTTGGACAGAGGGCTGCTTCCCAAGATTTGACAAGCTGTTGAGGGCCGCATGGGTAGCCCTGCCCCTTGACAGGAGCTGCGCCCCCCCAGCGCCATCTTGTGACTGAAAGTCCCACCCCCTAACCCCTGACGTTTGCCACCAGAAGTCCCTCCCCTTGCCCCCAGAAGTACT